TCAGTACTTTTTTTTTTAGATTAATTCATTTGAGAGGGAGAGAACGAGCGAGAGAGGGAATACAAACGGGGAGGGGCAGAGGGAGAAGCAGACTCCCCATTGAGCAGGGAGCCCGACAGAGGGCTCGATCCCAGGACCCCAGGATCATGACCCAAGCCAAAGGCAGACACTTAACCGACTGAGCCACCCAGGCGTCCTCTGGCCAGTCTTTTTAACTTTAGCTGTTCAAATAGATATGCCTCTCATTGAAGTTTTAATTGGCACTTCCCTAATGACTAATGATGTTGACTTGAATCCTCTTAAATCTATTGGAACTTGTTTTATGTTCCAGAATGTAGTCTCTTGGTAAATGTACCTATGCACTTAAGAGGATTGTGTCCTCTACTTTCATTGCCTGGGGTGTTCTGTACTACACTTGATCTTAGCCAAAAGGCCTAGAAGCGATTGGGGGGTGTTCTGTAAATGTGAGTTTGAGGTGCTTAATGGGATCACCATGACTTCTGACAAGACAAGCTTTGTTGAAAGTATTACAATTCAAGTATGGTGGTAACAGCGAGATGCACAAATGGGGGTAGTTTCTCCTTGTGAAGAGCTGTGCTTTCAGCTTGATTTCTATGAGAGGTGTCTCTTCAGTTGGCCTTAACTATGGTTAGCAAACTTGCTCTGGTTTCTTCTGTTCGACTTTATGTCTCCACATCTGTAACAGAAACAATATAATTTGTTAGTAAATTTCTCAGAATCATCCTGTAGGAGCCAGCTCTATCTGTCTGTTGCTGCTAGCAGTCTGGTAACTTAATGTATCCATATCCTGGAGAGGGTACTGGCTGGCTTTGACCATTCTGGTGTACGTCCCTGGACCTGGTATTCTCTAGACTATAAAGAAAGTATAATTAAAGTGCAGTTTAAAAAAAACATATATACTTGGATTCATCTAACATGGTAACGTGTAAAAAGGCCTGCTCCTAGTTAATGATTTGTTTAAAAAGCTTTGGGTTGGGCGCCTGGGTGGCTCAGTTGGTTAAGCGACTGCCTTCGGCTCAGGTCATGATCCCTGGAGTCCCGGGATCGAGTCCCACATAGGGCTCCCTGCTCGGCAGGGAGTCTGCTTCTCCCTCTGACCCTCCCTGTCCTCATGTGCTTTCTCTCTCTCTCATTCTCTCTCTCAAATAAATAAAATCTTAAAAAAAAAAAGCATTGGGTTAATGTTTCAGAATGAACAACATGGTACTTTGTGTTCGATTAGTAGCTTCATTGTTGAAATTCTTTGAAATCTTTTTTTTTTTTTTTTGAAGTAAGCTCTATGCCCGTTGTAGGGCTTGAACTCATGACTCTGAGATCAAGAGTCACATGCTCTACTCACTGAGCCAGACAGGTGCCCCAAAATTTTTAGGCATCTTAAGGACAGATTGACCAGTATGGATTCCAGGTTAGATAGCCATTCAGGTATCCAGCGCTAGATATCATGTGCTTTAGGAATGAAGGTTTTTGTGAGATAAGGAAGGAGGCATTTTATAAATAATTCTGATTCAGTTGTCTCAAGAAGTCAGAGGACGAGTGGACTCCCAAGCCCAGTATCTCAGTAGCACACAGGGTCCTGGGGTGGAGGGACGGTGGCCACCATCTTATCCACGTAATGGAGGGAGAAGAGGGAGATGCAGTCTCTGGCTTGAGGGCCCTGGACCGTTAGGGTCAGTCAGCCTGAGCTGGTCCTATTCCAGTCTGGCTCTGTGTTACCCAAATAGTGGGGAGGGGGCTGCCCATGGCGGCCTGCCAGTCTGCCCGTTGCAGAGGAGGCCCCGAGAGACATTTGTGGATGGTGTAGATTGATGGGTTTGGCCTCAGCCAGGGGCTCGTGCCCGCCATAGCCTTAGCCCTGGTTCTCTGCCTTTGAAGTACCTTGTCTGCAGTTCATTCCCAAGTGTTCGCGTGTCGCCATCCCCCTATCCTCCGGCTTTCCTGGGTGGTCCTTGCCTCCTTTTGTGGTCAGAGGTGAGCTGTCCTCTGGCCAGTGCCTCGTCCTTTTTTCCTCGCCGCCCCCTCCAACATCGGTCCTCTCTTTCTTGCTTTCTTCGCTCTTTTTGTCTTTTTCTCGTTTTTGGTTTCTCTCTCTCTTTAAAATTTTCATTATGGAAAAGTCCAAGCCTAAACGAAAGTAGATAGAGTAGTGTGATGCCTCCCCAGTACCCCATCCCCAGCCTCAGCAATTGCCAGTCAGGGCCAGTCAGCCACAGATATGTAACCGCAGATGTGCCTTGGCCCCTAGTGTTGGGAGGATCTCTACATCAGTGAGTGTATAAGAAAATTACTGGGGCGCCTGGGGGGCTCGGTCGGTGAAGCGTCTGCCTTCAGCTCGGGTCCTGATCCCGTCCGTGGTCCTGGGATCGAGCCCCGCATCGGGCTCCCTGCTCTGCGGGAAGCCTGCTTCTCCCTCTCCCGCTCCCCCTGCTGGTGTTCCCTCTCTCGCTGTGTCTCTCTCTGTCAAATAAATAAATAAAATCTTAAAAAAAAAATTACTAAAATATCATTATCACAGCTGTAAAAATTAAGTATCTTAGTATCAAACAGTATTCAGTATCTAGGATCAGTAGTCACATTTCTAATTATTTTACAAATATGATTTGAATCAGGATCCATAAAGCCCTTACATGGTCACAGATTGGTATGTCTTCCAAGTGTCTTAGTGAGGGCTTCCTCTCCATCTTTTTCCCTTTGAAAACAGAAGGTCACTTCTCTGTCAGGGTCCTCGTGGAGTGGGCTTGCTGGTTACATCCATGTGATATTGTTGAAACATGTTTCCTTGATCACTGTATTTCCTGTAAATTGGTAGTTAGATTCAGGTTTGATTTAGGTGGTGTTGCATGCTTCCACCAGGAGATACGTGGTGTCTGGTGGTCTGTCTTTTTATGACTTTAGAAGGCACTGAGCATCGTTGATTCTGTCCATTACTGCACTGAGGATTGTAGGATGTGACGTTTTGATCTTTCATCCCTCCCCCATTTATTAGCTGGGATGCTCTATAAAGAGAAACTTGCCCTCATCTGCTGTCGCTTGCCCTGATTTACGGTTTGTAGAGGAAAGACAGGCTAACTATTTGATTCTTTCCCTTTATTTATTAGTTTTCACAATAATAAACGATTCACTAGTAACCTCCAATGAGGACCAGTTGTTTTTTGTTTGTTTGTTTTTGTTTTTTACCATATTACGCCTTCATGGATTAAAACGTGTTTGATGTGTTTCAGTCCACTGGTTATCATTCTCATCAGTGCTCATATTCTCCTTGTGGGCTGTGAGGGCCTCTTCAGGATGGCTCCTGAGTTATTGGATGTTACCTAATGAGTCTTTGATAGCTTCTTTGCTTTCAGGTGTGACGGGGAGTCCGGGCCCCGTTTGTACACTTCCTGGCCTGTCTCCAAGGATCTTGGTTTCTTTTCATGGGAAGTGGGGTTTAAATATCACAGCCTGGTGCTAGGGTGTTCACTGTTAATTGGACAGAATTAGAAAGTCTTTGTTTTTTTAATACGTCATGAGTGATCTTTGTTTTATTTAATACATCATGAGTGATACTTTATAGTGATGCTTCAGGTTTACATACGGGATTACCAGGTGTTTGCTTAATGCTTTCCCTCTGGTATCCTTCTTTCCTTTTTCACTTGCATGAGGGTGCCTGTCTGGAACAACACTTCAGACGATGGCATTGGAACATTCCTTATTACTTGGTATTACTGCTGAACAGTTTAATGATAATCAGATTTTCTTTTGTAAAGTCAGTTGAAGTTTGCATAGCTATTCAGAGTGTTTTTCCCTTTAAAGTCCAGGAAATTCACCAGAGCAAGTCCTGGAATAGGGTCTTCTGGGGTCCGGAGTTGGTACTTGGTACCTCAGGTAGTGTTTCAACATGCAGTGGAAATTCTTTTTTTAATTTATAGTTTTCTTAAATAGAGTTTTTTTTTTAAAGATTTTATTTATTTATTTGAGAGAGAGAATGAGAGATAGAGAGTACGAGAGGGAAGAGGGTCAGAGGGAGAAGCAGACTCCCTGCCGAGCAGGGAGCCCGATGGCAGGACTCGATCCCGGGACTCCGGGATCATGACCTGAGCCGAAGGCAGTCGCTTAACCAACTGAGCCACCCGGGCACCCCTTAAATAGAGTTTTAATATTTGTTCTATACCTTTGCTTTGATTTTTCTTCTCTGGGTCTTCTGTTATTCATATATTAGATCGTCTTTGCAATATTTGTCACCTTCTCTTCAATCCTTTTTAAAACTTTTTATTCATTTATTTTATTTTTTTGTTAAAGATTTTATTTTTTTTTGAGAGAGCACGAGTGAGGGGAGAGGCAGAGGGAGAAGCAGACTATCCACTGAGCAGGGAGCCCGATGTGGGGCTCCCTCCCAGGATCCTGGGATCATGACCCGAGCCGAAGGCAGACACTCAACCAACTGAGCCACCGAGGTGCCCCGACTAATGGTGTCTTTTGAAGGACAAAAGTTTTAAATTTTGATGAAACCCAGTTTATACTTGAACATATAAATGTATCTTCTTTCTGAATTTCATTCTCAATAACATCCAAGTGTGAATCATCTTACTTTTTATGATTTTTGATATTCATCGTCTACTTGCCTAAGTTATTTTTACGAAGGATTCTGCACAGCCTGCAAGGCCTCTTGGAATGGATGGGTGGGTCTGTGCTGTGTTAATAATAGTCTAGTTATGGGCTAGAATAATACCTAAAACTTCAACACTTTTGATCTTAGTCGGGAAGCATGACTATTGACCTTTGAGAGCAGGATCTTATTTCCATCACTGATGGTCCTTGGTGCTGTTGGCAGCTTTCTCCTGGGAGGCCTCCTGTCTGGCTGGTGCTGTTGGTGGCTCTTATTCTCAGCACCACACCTTGCAAGTAGGCTGCTCGTCTGGATGGGGTGAAAGGGTCGAGTACAGAGCATACCCCTCCTCTGATTTTGTAAGGCCAGATAACGTATTCTCTCTTGACAATTTCAGGTGAAGGACTTAACGAAATACTTGGACCCCGGTGGGCTTGGTGTGATCAGTTTTGAGGACTTCTATCGAGGGATCACCGCGATCAGGAATGGAGGTCAGTCTCCCCCACTGTGTGTTTCCCTCTCCTCGTGTCCTCTGCTCCAGCCCTCGCCTTGCTGTGCCCTCACCTACCCTTAGGAATGCCCCTTTGGCTGGACTTAACGTCTTCCCTACTCCTCCAAGCCCCTAAAATACCCTTGGGTTTCAGGGTGCTCTCTCCCTGTCCTTTGCCTATTTTTTTTTTTTTTTGAAGATTTTATAGAAGTTGCCGGCTCACTCTGCCACGCTCCCCTCCTTCCTGCCCCAAGCAATCATTCTGTCACCCTCCTGAGAGAGGGCTCGTGGGCTGCCAGCCACAGAAAATAGCCCACTTCTAAGTGACGATGCGTGACAGAATGTCTCAGTTTGCAGAGGGTGCCGAGCTGAGCCAGGCCAGAGAGCTTTTATTGCAAGTTTGTTGGGACTGAGGCAGAGATTATCTCCAAACACGCTGATGACAGAGAAGTAATCTTATATATAAAACTACAGAAGAGAGGGCTAAGAAGGTGAAGGCCGCGCTGGGCAGGAGCCAGTGTGTCCTGAGTGATAATTCTCCACAAATCTTTGGGCTCCTGCTCTGATCACAGCCCTACAGGGGAGGTGAGTGTGGAGAGAAGGGGGCCGTTCCTGCGCTGCTTCACGACTTAGAAAATGTTCTCAGACACCCCAGATCCATATACAGCCCCCTGTGCTGGGAAGGTGGCATTCATTAGCGAATCATTTCACAGCTATAAATAACTAGCTTCGAGTGAGTTGCCCAAGGCAACGTCACGCCGGACCATGGCACGGCCCTGGCGGGGGACCATTCACGTGTGTTGTATGGTGCGCAACCTGTGTGGTCATTCACAGAGTCTCTGGTGGGATGGCCACACGTGCTTCGGACTCCAGATGCCCCATCGGTCACCTGCTGACCCTTCTTCCACCAGCTTCCTGTGGTCCTCAGGAGGGAACATGGGGCTAGACACATGGAAGCTCTCAGGGTCTGATATGGCATACAGATTGGAGTGCTGGTACTCATAGTCAGCCCGAGTGCTGTTCCTGCCTCGGAAGGTAGCAGGGAGCATTAGTGAGATGTGCCTGGGGAGTTTGGGGGCTGGGGTGGAAGCAGCTGATGACTGGGAATGTGTTGTGGGTTGAGATGAATCATGATTCCTCGGTACTTTGCCCATTCGATACCAGATCCCCATGCTGTTCAGTTCCCCAATAAACGTGTACTGAGGAGGGGCCTGCTTGGTCCGGCCCATGATCCGAATGTCACAAATTGCAGCTTCAGTTGAATCCCGTGGGATAAATTTAATGCACAGCCTCTTTCTTCTAAAAGCCAATTCCTGTGTGTCCACCGTCTCCTGAATTGGGATGAAGCCTACAGGCAGAGTGTCCTTGATGTCAATGAGCTTCATATCCACTAACACGTTCCCTAAATGACTATTTTCTTTGGAAAATGATCTCGTGAAACACAGGTATCTGGTAACCTTGGATTTAAATAAGCCGTCTTTCCAGAGGTCAGCGTCCACACCATCTGCTGTCTGTGCAACTACATCATAGCCTGTTGGGGCTCAGTTCCGAGAAGCCACCACCCCCACCCCCGTGATGGGATCCATCGACGTCTCTGGCAAAGCTTCTGAAAGGTCTTTGACTTCAGGCATGGTGGATTGGTCTGTTCCCAGCTGGGGCGGTGGCGGCTGCTGCTAATATAGAGAACAGGAGCCCCAGCCCACACCTGAAGTCCCGCTGGGCTAGAAGATGGTTAACAGTGTGTGCTGATGCCATGATGTTTGTCCTGGTCTCCCCGCCAGCATTGAAGTACTCATCCTCCAGTCGTTGGGCAAGTTAGGGGTTGACATTTCACACTTTCCTCCATTAGGATGTCCTTCAGTGGAAGGCTGACCTCTGTCTTAGGATCTGCTTCCTTGGGAGCCCAGCTTGGTTGCAGTTGGCATCTGCTCGCTCTTGAACAAACCCCTCCACCACTTCTGTGTCCCAGGCTTGGGGATTACAAATCAGGGAGGTAGTTTATTGGAAAAAGGAAGTCCATGGTATAGGGTGTTCCTCTGAGGGACTGGGTTAAGATTTCCTGATGATTAAGTCATAAAACAAGTTAAGCCCAAACTAACACGAGAGACTCTGAATGAAAGCACATCTTCTACACTCATGTCCTGTATTTCCAGGAAACATAAGCCAGGATCAGGGCCTCCCTCCAATGAACCAGTGTTGGTCCAATAAATTCACTATAATTATCTTAACTCTCTGAACCTGAGGTTAAAGAAAAAAATTTATGTCTAACTCTAGTTGATCTCTTTTTACCTTTAATTCACTTGTTTGCTTTCAACTGTGGATTTGATAGTGATTCTATAGTATTGTAAAGTATATGCTACAAACACTCTAATTCATAATTAGCCATTTTGATAAGCAGATGAGTCTTTTTGCAACTCCCTGCAGCTCTGAATAGTACCTGTTCTGTTCAGAGAAAAAATATATTTTAATACAGAAGGACAAGTCTGAGTACGGTTTACTAAAGATTGTTTTTCACGGAAGCAGTTGTAGATTCTAGGTGATTCTGTGGTTCCTAAATCCAAAAGCCATCAGAATGGCGGCACTTCTAACATCAAATAAACTTTCACACAAATGAACTTCTTCATCATTTTAGTTGATGTTCCATCATTTGGAGTCCTAGGTCAGATTACCTCTCACCTGAATTTTTGCAGGTGGTAGTGTCAGAAATGAGATGGAAAATTTCATACCAAAGCCCTTTACTTGAAGGGGCATGGCTGAAGCAGGCTGGAGTACCAAATGTTGTGTAATTATCAAATAGGAATAGGCCCCACCAGGCCCCTCTAGAATGAGCTTTGTGTAGACAATCTGCCCACTCTAATAATTGGGTGTCTGTGGCTAGGGCTGCAGTATCTCTTCTACACAATACGTGAAAAGATGCTTATCACAAGACTCTAAATGAATATTCAGTTAAGTATACCATGAGGACGTCTAAGCTTGTGTTGTGCAAATGGCTCTGTACTAAATGGTAAATTTTAAAATGTATAAGTAAATGAATAAAATGATACTATATATTTGGGATTAAAAAAAAAACCCTATGTTCCAGAACTAACTCAGCCTCCTATCCATAATCTTAGAAAGTTACTGCCCCTTTCCGTGGACATGCCAGAATATCGAAAGGCTTCCATACGAGCACCCACATGTACACTTGCTGTTGGTGTTCTGCAGGCCGCAGACTGCTTTGTTTCCATTGTTGTGGATCCGTCCATATTCTGCCTGGCCAACAAAGCCATTTTTTTCCCCCAGTGGTCTGCATTTCAAATCATATACTCCCGTACACTTCACCCTAAGTGCTTCCACACGTGTGGTAGTCGTTACTGAGAATTAGTGTTTGTGGTCTTACTTGGAGTAAAAATTTACTTATGGTAAGTGCACAAATCTTAAGTAAATCTTCAGTCACTCCGAACTCTGACAGTTCTTAAATGCCTAGTGATGGAAATCCCTGCCACGTGTTATCATCACCACAGACGGTTCCCTCACGGCCCTCAGCGGCCCCTTCCTCCTCACTATACCACCTTGGCTGATTTTCATCACCCGCGATCAGCTTGGCCTCTCGTGGGCTTCGTTCACACAAAGGGAATCATCAGCATGTGCTCTCACATGTGACTTCTCCCTTTGTGGTGTTTCTGAGATTCATTCATGTTGCATGGATCAAAGTCTGGTTTTCGATTGCAGAGCAGTGTCCCATTGTATGTTTGTACCACATTTTGTTGATCTCTTGCCCAGGGGGGTGGACACTTGGTTTTGGGCTACCATGTCTCCAATTTGGGGCTGGGATGAATACAGCTCCTACTGACATTTATGTATGTCTTTTTTTTTTTTTTTAAGATTTTATTTATTTGTTAGAGAGATAGAGAGAGAGCACAAGTAAGCAGAGAGGCAGGCAGAGGGAGAGGGAGAAGCAGACTCCCCCCTGAGCAGGGAGCCCGACGTGGGGCCTGATCCCAGGACCCTGGGATTGTGACCTGAGCTGAAGGCAGATGCTCAACGACTGAGCCACCCAGGTGCCCCATTTATGTATGTCTTTGTGTGGACACATGTTTTCATGCCTTTGGGGCCTGGACACAGGATGGGATGGTTGGTTTTGTGGGTTTAAGCTTAATTTCTTACACACTCTCATGGTGCCCATATGCTGTCCCTTCACTTCGAATTCTGGAGCTCTGGAGAGCCCTCTTTTTCTCATGACCCAGCTTCAGCCAGGTGTGTTGGGGGTGACGGTGGCAGGAAGGCACTGGTTGCAGGCTCTTCCCTTCTTCCTGCACTTGTCAGAGAAGGAGGAAGAGGAGTAGACCTGGACAGGACCCGCAGTGGCCAGGTCAAAGGATGCCCTTGGACCTGAAGTCTTATCAGCAGTTGTTAGTAGAGTTACCTGTCTTGTGTGTCCACTCTATTGCCCAACAGTGTCGCAGAGGGGCTGGGTTTCCTAAAACACCGAGGCCAGGTGGCTCTGAGATGCGCTCTGTGTATCGTGACCTGTATTTACCCTTTGCTCTTTCACCCAGTCAGTCCACACACCCATGAGTACCACCGTTGCCCAGGGACCCTGTGGGCCTTTGGGTCCAGAGCACACATCAGTGTGGTGGGTGGGCGCCGTGCCATAGCACCACCAGGCCAGCTCCAGGTAGGGGCCCTCTCTGAGGAGGGCTGGAGTGAGGTCTGGTCCAAATGATGGAGCTGCTCTGAGGCCTGTGTGATGAGCATGACTGAGCTTGAGGATGGAGAGGCTGCAGGCCCTGGGGCTGCTGTGAGGGTGGCACCACTTCCGGGGCAGATGGGGCCTGGTGGGGAGACATGGAGAGCAGGTGGGGCAGCAGACCCTCTGGGAGGTGGTAATGGCAGGGGCTGGGCGATGTGAGTAATGCCAGGTGGGCTCGGGGATGAGGAAGAGAGCCCTTGGGTGACTTAGCGTCACATGCCTGTCTCTGCCCGTGTAACCAGGAGGTGGTAACCCTTATGTGATTTTCCGAGGTTAGGGATACAGTTAAACACGAAGTTGTTTAAGCCTTCGCGCTTTTGCACAAAGATTTTGGTGGTGGCTTCATACAAACTTTGGCCTTTGCTCATCCTCCAGTGCCTTTGGTGGCTTCCTGAACAGAGCACATGCACGAGCCCCCAGTCATGCTCCTCAGGACCTCCCTGGGCCACTGCAGCGGTGTCCAGGACCCTTGGGGGATGGCTTTGTTCTCCAACAACTTCTGTCAGTTAACCTGTGGGAAACTCACGGTATTTGCTTTTTTCTCTTAGTTTTAAAATCCAGTATGATTTCTGACTCATCAGTTATTTAAAAGTTCTTTTAAAATCTTGTCATTAATCTCACACCTACTTGTGTGTGATAGAGAATGGGATCTCTGTGTTCATTCTTTGACATCGGTTGAGATTGTTTTGTGGTCTTCCACACAGCCAGGTCTTACACATGTGGTGTGCGAGCTTGAAGGTGCAGTGCTTACTCTCTAACCGAGGCGCAGGGGCATGCCTCGAGCCGCACACCACGTGTGTCCGTTTGATCTCCACCTCAGGGAGCAGCCTTGCCTCCCACAAAGGTGGTGGCATCGTTAGTTGTAGATAGTTTTAATTCACCTTCGTGCTCATGTAACTGGCCGAGTGTAGGCTTCGGGGTCGATGGTGATGGAACCCAGAGGGCCCCAGGACTGGGGGGTCATCAGAGAAGCCTTCGCGGCTCTGCCTGACAGTTTAGGGCTAGGAAGGCGACAGATGCATAGAGGCCAAGCCTAAGACACCTGGCAGTTACTATTGCCGGGAAAACAAGCAGCTGAAACACAGGGAAAATGTGCTTCGACAATACCGCTTGGCTGGTAGTGAGTGCTATGTAGTCATAATAATGAAACGCATGGAATAAATAAAATCTTTAAAAGAAAAGGGGGGGGGCGCCCGGGTGGCTCAGTCGTTAAGCGTCTGCCTTCGGCTCAGGTCATGGTCCCAGGGTCCTGGGATCGAGCCCCACATCGGGCTCCCTGCTCAGGGGGAAGCCTGCTTCTCCCTCTCCCACTCCCCCTGCTTGTGATCCCTCTCTTGCTGTGTCTCTCTCTGTCAAATAAATAAATAAAATCTTTAAAATAATGAAACGCATGGAATATTTATGTAACCAAAGATTAGACAACAATTTTGGAAGGTTGCGGGGAGGGAAAGTGGGGAAGGGTATGCTGAAATCCTCAGGTACTACGCCAGGATGTCCGTAGAAAATTCTAGAATCCAGGAACTCATGGGAACTATTTAGAGGGACGAGGATGACAGGCTAAAGGTGTGAGGACTGGTATCAGCACTGGTCCACTGTCCGCCACGGGAGGGGTGACGCATGCCCCTGGGTTGGCCGTGGCCACCCCGCATCACAGACAGGAACCCATTTCCCTGGGTGACCGCAGAAACCCAGAACGCGTGAGCTGCTGGCCACAGTGCACTGGCCATGCCTCTCCGGCTGGAAGCTCGCCACACAGCCTTACCAGCAGGACAGCACCATCTGTGTGTCTCCAGGCCTAAAACCATGGAACCCGAGGAGCGAGACTGGGCTTCCTTGGGTTCAGGGGGTTGGGGAGTCCAGACTCTTCTGAAGGGTCACGGCTGGGAATAGCAGTGGGAGCTGGTCCTATGGGTGTGGGCAGGAAAGAGCCCAGGGCAGTGGCCAGCCAGACGGCTGGTGCTGTCCATGTGGCTCTGAGGCCCTCTCAGCCAAAGTGCACAGTCCTGTTGCCAGGCTGAGGCTGGTCTGTTCTGACAGGCAGAGTTAATGCACACTGAAGCAAGATCAGCTGTAGGAGTTCCTGGGGGGTCGTGACCTGGGAGTCAGCAGGTGCTTCTGGAAAGCGTGTGACCCACTGCTGTAAGGAAACCCTCCGGCCTCTGATGCCTGGCAGGGGAGAAGAGCCATCTCTGCTGAGGCAGCCTCTTTCTCTGTGGAGAGGGAGGGGCTGCTGGCTATGGCCCCACGTGGCTGTCTTGTGGGTTGCATGTGTCTTGAAGTTGAGTGACTTCAGGAGCATATGGATATCAGTCTGCTGAGAGAAGTGGCCGTCTTGAGAATGGCCTGTCTCCTTGAGGCCTGATCTCACCCTGACTCACTGAGACAGTATCTTTGTCAGTACCCACCACCCCTCCTCCCTCCTCCTTGCCTTCATGTGGGCCATTCACCCTTCCGTCTGCCGCAGGGGTTGGTAGAGGGGAGCTTGAGGCCAGGCCCTGGGAGGGGTCCCGGGCTCTGCCTGAGAGGAGCTGGCCAGGGCTCTCTGTCTCCATCCATAGCTTGCTCCGGCCTGCTCTCCCCTGTAGACCCCACCCCTGGCTCACTTGGCCAGCTCTACCTGGTCCCTTCCCATCCTCCGTGGCCCCTGGCCCTCTGCATTCTGTTTGTCCAGTGCTGCATCTGTACTTCCTTCTGAATCTGGAAGCAGCCCCTGCCTACTCTGAGCCTGCAAGTCAGGAGACCTTGGTGAAAGTCCTGCCTCGGCCCAGCCCACACACCCCATGGAGCCCCACAGGAGTTGTTTGAGTCTCAGGATTTTCACATTCTTTTGGATAATCGTTCCACTTTGATTTAATTAAAATAAAAAAATCCCCCAGCCAGTCCCAGAGTTAGCATGGACGCTCCAGGAAATAGTGCGCCCAGCCCCCTGGCAAGGGCAGTGCTGTTCCGCGAAGACACCTGAGCCGAGCGTCAGTGCAGCAGGCCCCCCCTCCCAGAAGAACAGCAGGAACTTCCAGAGAACACACAGAATCGCGCAACTCCAGGGCTGGGGAAAATAGTATAGAGAACTTGGGGTTTTCTTCATGGTTCTTTAATCTTTCCATTTTAATTTTTTTTCCTCTTCAACTAATTTCCTATCTTATCAACTCTTTTTTAAGTCTTTTTTAATTTTCATTTTTACAGTTATATTTTATCTTTTCATTGTATCTAATTATGTACATATATGAAGTTTTTTTTCTTTACAATTTTGGGATCTAGTTTCTTCTAACAAACAGACCAAAATATACCCAGGATCTAGTGTATTGCTCTGTTCTGCTCACCTGTCTGATTATATTCTCAATCTCCCTCTTTCTTTCTTTTTTTTTGGTTTCTGGTCTCTTATTTGTTTAGTGTATATTTCTCTGGGGTTGTTATTTTAGCGTTTTGTTCTCTCATTCATCTATTTTCTGGACAGAAAGACAAGATGGAAGCATTGTGTTTTTTCTGTGGCGAGAACATTCTGGAATAGAAGCGTCCCTAGAGGGTGAGGTTTGGTGTCAATGTGATGCCACATTGCAGGTGTTGTTCCCCCTCCCTGGAATTTAGCCTGTGTGGGGCAGACTCCTGCTCCTCAAGTGAGGTGGGAGGTCCTGGACCCTGAGGGACAGTCTCCTGCTGGGCTGCGTGACCAGGGGCTCTGTCCAGTGTCTGGGCTGAGGGTGGCTGCCGTGATGAGAGCTTGAAGCAGGCAGACTGGAGGAGGGTCGCATCCGAGGGCACAGCTGAGACCCATGAGGACTGTGGGCCCAGACACTGTGCAGCCAGACTGCTCCAGGCTCCAGGGACACAGTGCATCCCCTGCCCTCAGGACAGCCCACAGACAATGAGGCAGGGCCGCTACAGGAGGGGACAAGAGCTTGGGAGGAGGGTGAGCAGGGGTGGGGGGGCGCCTGGGTGTGGCACCCTGGCATGTCTGGGGGCTGCAGGGAGGCCACTGTGTCCAGGTTGGGCATCTGGGGTTAGAAGGCAGAAGTGAGGGTATTAGGGGTACGGCCAGGCTATGGGCAGTGAGGGAAGGCATGGATGTCTCTGCAGGGTGGGTGGTGAGTGGCCCCTTGGCTCAGTGCCAGCTTACCAGGACCATGTCCTGGAGTGGGCGTGAGGGGCTGGGCCTTCAGGTAGCCGTTGCCCATGTGGGCTTGGGGGAGGCCATGCTGGTGGGGACACTCCACCTGTGTGCATCGGACGTCCTACCAGGTGCGCTCAGGGATTCAGGCGTTGTTTTTCTTTTTTCTGTAGTTTGATCTCATTATTTAACTTTGGTTAGGAAAGGAGAGTGAAAATAAAACTGTAGGGCGCCTGGGTGGCTCAATTGGTTAAACGACTGCCTTCAGCTCAGGTCATGATCCTGGAGTCCCGGGATCGAGTCCCGCATCGGGCTCCCTGCTCGGCGGGGAGTCTGCTTCTCCCTCTGACCCTCCTCCCTCTCGTGCTCTCTCTATCTCATTCTTTCTCTCAAATAAATAAATAAAATATAAAAAAAGAAAACGATAATAAAAGCAAGTCAAAGCTGATTTTGAAATTGTTGTTTGTTAGCATTTGGGAGGGTGGAGCACGATGGCTAGCGCCAGCAGCTTCCCACCAGCGCCCACTTCGGGTGCTCCTCCGGCGTGCGGGCAGCCCGCTTGGGCTGGCGGCTTCCTCTGCACCCAGGAATGACCCAGCAAGGGACTTGGTGTGTTGACCCAGTTGGCAGCAAAGTGCAGGGAGATTTTCACTGTCACACCACAGGCCTTATTTCAGGAATAGAGTGAGTTGGGGTGGGGGGAGGATTGCTACAAATAGGCCATTGTGCTGGCCCACCCCCACACTCTGGAGGAGTAAGATGAATGCACATTAAAAATGTCCGCTTCCCTGAAAGTTGTCTTAATTCATAGCAAACTTAACAGGAGAGTCGTATTTTGTGCCCATCAGGAATGTGAAAGCACCAGTGATGTTCACATCCCCCTGCCCACGATGTGGGACAAGACCCTCCTGACCATTGTCCACCCCTTGCGGCTGAGCACATGTCCGCCACATCTAAAATGGTCGGCTGCGTTTTGAGACCTTTGAATTCTGTGTTTCAGGTTTTTGAAGGGAGAGGAAGACTATTACCATCTGAGAGGGGAAAATAGGCCAAAGACAGTCTAGCTTTTTACAAAATAAACGTGCAATCTCTAACTGTACTGGGGTAATCGGTCCCCTGCCACACCCTTGCCCCAGAAACCAAAAATGTGAGTCCACAGCAACCCTGGCAACCCTGGCCCCCTCACCTGCACCAGAGACCCAGACCTCCAGCACAGGGATTCCAGCACATGCTGGGTCCACCTGCGTGCTTGCAGGCTCCTTCTCACCTGCTACAGTCTGTCCCATTCAGATATCTAGCCACACTCCTGGGGAAAACAATATGAAACAACACAAGTACTTATGGTTCTTTTTTTTTTTTAAGATTTTATTTATTTGAGAGCGAGAGTGAGCACAAGCAGGGGGAGGAGCAGAGAGAGGGAGAAGCAGGTTCCCCACTGAGCGGGGCTCCCGATGTGGGGCTCCATCCCAGGACCCTGAGATCATGACCTGAGCTGAAGGCAGACGCTCAACCGACTGAGCCACCCAGGCGCCTCAAGTACCTATGGTTCTTAAAAGCCACATAGGGGTTTTTGGCTTAAGAGCTTTAATCACTACTGCAAAGTAGTTTTGAGTTGGCATAGGCATCTCACAGTTGCTGAATACATAGATATTTGAATTCACACAGTTGCCGAAAGAAAGCATTATGATTCTGTTTAAGTTGAGAGACTCCTTTAGAAACAGGACGGAATAGCCATGTGTCCTGCCGCTGCTTTGTGGTGAAGGTCCTTCAGGACCCATTCTCCCAGCTCTCGTGGTGACTTCAGAACCTGCCTGGGGGGACAAGAAGAACGTCCTCTGCTGGCTCAGTCAGGAGCATGTGACTCTTGATCTTGGGGTCATGAGTTTGAGCCCCACACTGGGCGTGGAGCTTACTTTAAAAAAAATAAAATAAGGGACTGATGTTATGTTAGATTATGTGACATATATTGAGTAAGTGATGTATTTTAAATAAGTAATTCCTATGATCTGTTTTCTGCTCACAACACTGACACCCAGTGTGTGGGCTTTCATCACCAAGTGGTTCTCCAGCTCTCTGGGGACACCAGCTGGGTGTCCTACAGTTTAATTTGCTCTGACACCAGCTGTCCGAAGACCCCACTTCAGGTGCCTAGGCCACCCGCACTTCTGCCTGACCTGGCAGTGAACCCAGGGTCTCCAGTACCCCTTCTCAGGTTTGATAATTTGCTCTAATGTCTCATAGAACCCAGGGAGACACTTTACTTAGCATTAGCAGTTTATTTAAAAGGTTACAAATGAACAGCCAGATGAAGAGGTATATAGGGTGAGGTCTGGAAGTGTCTGGAATGCAGGGGCTTCCGTCCCCGTGGAGTTTGGGATGCACCACTTTCCTGGCATGTTGATGTGTTCAGTACCTGGAAGCTCTCGGAACCCCTTCGTTTTGGGTTTTTTTGGGAGGATCCATTGGTCGTTGGTGATGGGCTTGGTCTCCAGCCTTCTAATCACATGTCGGGTCCCCTGGCCACCAACCCCGGGCTCCAAGAGTCACTTGCGTGGTGTGAATCCAGGTGAGGCTGAGAGGGGCTTGTTATGAACCACAGCAGATGCTCCTCTCAGTCTCGACACTCAGGAAATTCCCAGGAGCTGGGACGAGGAGCACATAAACGTTTCTTCTTATGTGGCGGTATCACAGTGACACAACTTAAGGAAACACAGGCATCTTCTATCGCTCACTTGCTCCCTGAAACATCCTGCGCCCGAACAGCGCTCAGGAGACCGCGGAAGCAGCGCCTCCTGCAGGAGAAGGGCCCGGTGCTGTTGAGAACTGAGTGTGTTGGAGAAGTGACGTCTCCCTTGCTGACGTCTGCTTATGGTCTGCCTGTTGTGAAGGGATAGCTTTTCCTTTAAAATTTTCCTTATTATGAAATAAAACATTTATTGCAGAAGATAGAGTTAAGCAAAAACAAAGGAAATAAAAACTGCCAGTGAGCCCCGCACCCAGGATGAGGTGTTGTTTTGGTTTGTTTCATCGTACCTACACCTCCCCAAACATACCCAAAGTTTTAAAAAATTTAAGTCTGGTACCTAATACTTTTTAAAGCCCATGAACAGTGTAACAGTCTTGAGATCTTGCTCCTTCTCTTTACGATGCTGTTGGGGGTTTAATTAATTAAATGGTTTTATTATTTTAGAGAGAGAGAGAGAGAGTTGGAGTGGGGAAGGGTAAAGGGAGAAGAGAATCTCCAGCAGACTCCCCGCTGAGCAGGGAGCCTGATGTGGGACTTGATCCCAGGACCCTGGGATCATGACCTGAGCCGAAACCAAGAGTCAGACACTTAACCACCTGTGTCCCCCAGGCGCTCCAACGCTGTCAGGGTTTTTAAAGAAACAAACATTTTATCATTCGGCCTCCATGCCACCTCTGGAGGGGGGACCTGCTTTCCTGTCTGAGCCATTGCTGCTTTCTCCCCCGGGCTTTTCCTGGGCTGTCTGGAGGCCCTGCTCGCATTTACCACTGTGGCGCCTTGTCCCTTGGCCTCTGGGGATGCTCTGGGTTCCCTGCTGAGCACGGGTCTTCTCTCCTGCAGAGTCCGATGGCCAGCTGTGCGGGGTCGCACCTGCCCAGGACGAGGAGCCACCTGCCTGCCCCGATGAGTTCGACGACTTCGTTACCTTTGAGGCAAGTGGTTCTCACTGAGGGGCTGAGAGGGAGTTTGACGTGACACATCTTCCTTTATGCCTTCTGAGTCCTGCTCCGCGTCGTGGTGCCCAGGCTAGTGGTGCGGGAAGTGCCGTGGAGGGCAGGGCAGGGCCCACCCTGCAGGCCTGTGCACTCGGCTGGGAGCTCTGGGGGGCTCATGGCTGTGGCAGGGGGTCAGCAGCTGTGTGTTCTGCTGCTGCTCACCGGAGGCCATGGCACGGCCCCTTGGGGCCTCTTGTCAGCAGAGGGACGGGCTGGGCTGCTAGGGCTCTCCAGTGGTGTTGCTGTCACCTGCCAGGTTGCCAAGCGAAGCCAGAGTGGGGGATGTGCTGTGAAGTTCTCGCTTTACCAAATTGCAGATCATTTTCTGGGTTTAGGGACTTCTAACACCTCATGCTCCTTTGCCACCTGCCCCCACGGTTGCTGTGCTTACCTGATGTCACCTATAATTGTGGGTGTTTTGTTCTCTGCATGGCAGGGGGGAGGTCTGTGAGCACAGTCACAAGACAGACCACACAATTGTGTCCCACCAGTGGAGGGGTAGGCAGATGTCGGGTAGCCCAGGTGGCTGGACGTGGAAATTTGCTTATTAAAAATATACATCAGAAACTCCAGAGCACCTGAAGAGCTGTTGCCCAGCGAGGGGTGCAGGGAACAGTGCTGGGCTGTGATGCGGTGGCCGAGCCTTGGCGCCTTGGTAAAATGGTGGTTGCACGAGGCAGCTTCTTGCAGTCCACAGGAGTTCACTACTTTCCTCTGGGGTCTTGTGTCCCGGCTCCGAGGGGCTGCTTCAGGCATTGGTCAGCCCTCAGATAACGTGGGTTCACTTTCTTACTGTCACTTCTGATAGCACAGGCCTCTGGGCCACTGGGGAGCATTCAGCACTCACAGCTTTGTCTTGAAGTACCAGCCAGGTCTGAGCCCCTCAAGGTCAGGGACCGCCCTGCCTTGCATCCTGTTTAGCAGGATTGGTGTGTTCGTTCTGTGTGTATGTGACCTGGGGGTGCTGGGACCTCTCCGGGCGTTGGAGGCCAGGCGCCAGCTGGGGCACGTGCTGGCTGCAGGCCCGTGTGGCTGGGTGAGGGGCTGCAGGCGTGCAGGACTCTGATGTGTCACCTGTCAGATGAACTGCCAGACCCTGTGATGGAGAGAGGCTGCTTACCTCACCAGAGCAGGGCCGGCTCCCTTTGCACAAGGTGTACTTTGACACACCTCGGATTTTCCAGGAATGCACCTTAGATCAGGGGAGTCCTTCTTTCCTTCCTTGAAGCATCTGGGGGGTCGCGACACTTATGCAGACACTTGTGCAGTGAGCCTCAGACCTTTATATCACCTTCCAGCAGAGCCAGACCTGAGCATCTGCATTCGCATCTTCCACTCTGTCCCTTGCTCAGGTTTCACACATATCAATTTCTCACACTTGATGTGGAGGTGGGTATAGTGGGTTGAATGGTAGTCTCCCTAAAGATATGATCACTTGGAACCTGTGAACGTGACCTTATTTGGAGAAAGGGTGTTTGCAGATGTAATTAAGTTGAAGGTTTTGAGATGAGATCCTGCTGGGTAGTAGGCTGGGCCCTGAATCCAATGAGGTGTCCTTAGGAGGAGGAGACACACAGGGGCCATGGGACGGAGCCGCGGAGGCTGGAGGGACGGAGCCATGTGCCCGGGGCTGCCCCGGGGCTGCCCCGGGGCCACCAGGAGCCTCCCCTGGAGCCTTAGGAAGAGTTCAACCTTGCTGACACGTCCAGAACCAAGAGAATCCGTTTCTGTTTCGGCCACACAGTTTGTGGTAGTTTGGCAGCCTAGGACACTAACACGGGGAGTTTGTTACTCAGGGTCGTGAAAGGCATCAACACATTTTGTACTTAAACAGCTCGTTTGGCCCAAAGGTGTGGGAGCCTCTGAGGCTGGGGCCGCCTCCTGAACCCTGGGCAGAATGGGCAGGGGGTCCTGTCTGACTCTGACCCCCTCCTGTCGTCTGTGCTGGTCCTGCCGCCTCTGTGTGCCCTCAGGGGTTCCGGCTCCCAACCTTCAGAAGGCACGGTGGGAACCGATGTTTCAAAGAATGCAAGAGGGATGCTTCTGATTTTTTTTTTTTTTCAGGAAGGCGGAAACATTGCTTTTTACGTTTTTTGTTGTTTTGAAAAATAATTAATACTTTATCTTTGAGCAGTTTTAGCTTTTCAGAAAATGGAGCATATAGTACAGAGAGTTCCCATTCTTACCCCCTCCCCGCCCCCCCATCCCCCTGACACACATAGTCACAGTTTTCTCCATCATGAACGTCTTGCATTAATTAGTGTGGTACACTTGTTATACTTGATGATCCAGTACTGATGTATTGTTGTTAACAAAAGTCCGTAGTTTACATTAGGGATCTCTCTTGGTGTTAATGCTTTCTGTGGGGTTTTTTTTTATTAGAATTTTTAAAAAAAGATTTTATTTATTTATTTGAGAGAGAGAGACGAGTGGGGTGGGGTGGGACGGAGAGAGGCAGAGGGAGAGGGAGAAGCAGACTCCCCGCTGAGCAGGGAGCCCGATGTGGGACTTGATCCCGGAACCCTGGGATCATGATCTGAGCCGAAGGCAGACGCTTCACCAACTAAGCCACCCAGGCGCCCGATGCATTCTGTGGGTTTTAACAAATGTACAGGGTCATGTGTTCACCATGTAGTATCATGCAGAGGAGTTTTGCTACCTTCAACACCCTCTGCTCCCTGGATTCATCCCACTTTCCCCACTAGCACCTGGCAGCAGCTGATCTTCTGCTATCTGCATAGTTTTGCCTTTTCCAGAATGTCACAGAGTTGGAATCCAATGTGTGGCTTTTGCTGATGGGCTTCTGTTGCTTAGTAATGTGCATTTAAGGCTCTTCCATGCCTTTTTATGCTTTTTATGATCTTTAGATGTAACTTTCAGGGGATTGGAACCAGGTACTCTGAAACTTACAGAAAGATGTTCTTTTAAAAAATCTTGCACATCTTATAATCTTAAAGTTCAGTAAAAATATGGGTGGAGAATATGTGCATTACACCCAGAATGTGAGACCCTCTGCTGGCGATCTTCAGCAATAAATAAGCCTTGTGCTGACTTCCTGGCCGGACCCACAACAGTGTGGGGCAGTTCACTGCTGGGCTGCTCCTGGGTCCTCCTCTGCTTCCTGTTGGCTCCTTGCTTGAGAGACCTTCTAGGAGAGTTATTGATGTGGCGTTTCTGAGAAGAGGGGGCGGGGTGAGGACTAAGTAAGATTTGTCACATTCACCGGAATGCAGAGGGGGAGGGTGGAGTGCCCAAGGCCCCTGCAGCATGCAGAGGTGAGCTCATCTGTCAGGGTTTCTGGAAGGGCAATGGGAGGGTCACAGAGAACAGACACAAACAGAAATGATAAGAATTGTCCCGCTGTGCCTCCTCTTTTCCTCCCTCCTTCTCCCACCGAGGCCTCTAGAGGACAGAGCTGCCTTAATAAAATGATGGAGACTCTTGTCTTTTGTGCAAACTGTTACAACAGAGGTTTGAAAATCAAGAAAAAAAGCCACTGTTTTGCGGTTTGTGAAAAACCCAACAAGGACATTTCCTGAACTTTGCCCCCCTTCGCCGGTCAGCATAGCAGGAGGATTAATGGAGCATGTCTGGGAGCAGGTTAAACTTTTTCCAAGGCTGTGATGTACCTTCAGGTGAGCACACAGGTTTTGCTGAAACCTCAGCAAACTAGCAAATAGGAAGGCCACGAGGTTAGTTGCAAGAAGCTACGCCTGGTCTGGACAGCAGTCCCCAGTGTTTGCGATACTGTGGGGAGAGCATCTCCAAGAGTCGGTGTGTGGAGCCGGGCGAGGCCCGTTGAGGCTGTCTGGGCTGGCGCCCAAGGGTGAGGGGAGCAGTTGGTGTCCCTCAGAGGGACCATGACCTGGGCAGTGAGGATACGGGCAGCGTTGGCCACACCAGCGTCCGTGTCCATCAGCAGGTCCTTTGTTAACCGGTGAAGGTAATAGTAACACGTGGCAGAGTTTTCTAGATGCACTTTGATTTTCCAATGAGTTCATCTTAACATCTGCAACTTGTAAGTATTTTAAAAGACAATAGCATAGATTTGTGGGCTTCTGGGCAAAGTTGGGTCCTGTGTGGTGCAAATAGAACCTGATGGGCCGGGTATGTGAGCTGGTCCTGTGTCTTGTGTAGGCTACGGGGGCAGGGGGCTGCTTTGCGGTGATCTTTGCCTCTCGTGGAAGGCAGATGTTTAGCCAACTGCTCTGGAAAACTACCTGGCTTCCTGACACTTATTCAGGGCAGATCCTGGGGGTGGGCAGCTTCTGACCCCCTCAGGCTGCTGACTGCTCAGCACCCCCACCAGGTGTCTGAGTGGCCGGAGTAGTGATGTGGGGACGGGACCTCCAGTGTACTGTTTCTTTATAATTTGAGGCAAATAAGGTGCAAGTGCGACCTTGAAGCCTTTAGTGGCGTGGGAAGCAGTGCTCGTGTGTGTGTGACTCTCCTTCCGTGTGGGAGGAGTGAGGAGATGAAGGTGCGGGAGTTGCCTAGAACGGAGTGTGTGTGCCCGGCCTGCGGCAGTCAGCGTTGTGCGGCATCTGTCTCACGGTTTCTGTGTCAGTGGAGGGTGACTTTCACCCTGAACTGTCCTGTCCAAGCTCCAAGGAGGGTTTGGACTGCAACCCTGGCCTCAGCTGCATGAGTCTTGTGAGCTCCTTGCAGGTGAAATAAGCAGGCCCGAGTGCCTGGACCTCCTTCCCTTCCTGGGAAAAAATGCACAGCTCCGTGCTGAGTTGGCCTGCCCTTGCACACACTAAGTTGCCTGTCGGGGGCTTGGGGTCCCTGCTGGCCAGGGGGGAGCATTGTGCTATTTCAGAGGTGTTTTAGTTGGTTGGCTTTTTAAAAAGCTGACCTCAAGAGTTCAGTTCTGTTCCCTATAGGAAATCATCAGGGTCCCCACTCAATGTGTTCGGGGCCCTCAGTGGGCCTGCTAGGTGAGGTCTGGGGTGTGTGGGACTTGCCTGCTTCCTGGGTCTGAGGACTGAGCAGTTGAGGAAGGGAGGGCTGCATGGGACTTTCTTGCAGACAAGGAGCGGCAGGGTGGTGCAGTCTTCCTCCTGTCCTTGGGTGACTCTCGGGCAGCACAGCTGTGTGAGTGTGCAGGGCCATCTGGGCAGCAGACCTGCAGCCACCCCTCAGCAGACATCTGGAACCGGCTGTGGATTTTGTGCCTGCTCTGTTGTGCTTCCTCCGCGGGCCCAGCCCCTGACATTCGGGTGCCTGCCTTCGTCACGTCCATCTCTGCCTATGCTGCCCGCAGCTCAAGCACAGGGCCAGCCCTGAGCCCGGCAGGAAGTGATACCTGCAAAGTGATGATGAGCCTCTGAAAGTGATTTCCTGGCTTCAGATTTTGAAGAGAGGGTTTTTTAGGGGTTCCTCAGTTGCCTGAGATTCCAAGGAAGATGGGTTTTTCCCTTGGAAGCATAGGTAATACACTACGTCTTCTGCCCTTCCACTTTATTCGGGCTGCACACAAAGCTGGGACTGTGACCCCACAGTCTTCCAGGCTCCTTTCCATACCTGCCTGTGTGGTCTCTTAATCTCAGTTTTGCAGATGAGGCGACAGGGTTTGGAGTGGTTGGGACCCCAGTGTGGGGTCACTGGGCTGGTGGATGGTGGGTGGTGGATGGACCCTGGCCTGTCATTGGCGCACTAGGATCCCGCCAGCTTGGCCTGGGCCCTTCATGAGTCTTCGATGGTGTGAGGCACCGTGGGGGTGTGGCCATGAGAGGCCCTCAGAGTTAGTGGAGGACCGGTGACTTTTTGTTACCATAGCACTTCTGAGCACACTGTGCCCTGGTGACATCAGAATGACAGGACAGAGTGCACCTTTTCCAGCTACTTTTCTGGAATATTACTTGTTCTCAAGTTGTTAACCTCAGATTCTTTTGAGCATGAAATGTTGGCTACTTACCCTAATCTATGCAGTTGCATATGTAATTAAAGCTGAGATGATAAATTGAAAATGCCCTGTTGAATGAATCTTTAGGTTTACGTCATTTGCACTGTGCTGCATGCTCGGCCATATGCTGGGCGCTGGGTCCAGAAAAGTGAAAACAAAGATAGGTTTTCTGGAAAGTAGACCTTTAACCAGTGAATGTAATGGGTTGGTTAATAATCGATGAGTTAGTATTTTGAGGTTAGACCATGTAATTGAACTTCAAAGCAGTAGCCTGAACATACATAATGGATATTGATGGTGACTTTTTAATTAGCATGTTCTTATACTATTCTTTGGATAGAAGTAATTCCCATGCTGGTAGCCACAACATGGGTGGCCACACTGGGATTTATCCTCTGGTGCTGGGATGCCTTCTCTAACTAACTTTCAGAATTGTCTGGTAGTTTTTCTGCTTTGGAACATGTGTCTGTGTTTCAATTTTTAAAGATACTGGATTGTTTTGTTAAGCTAATGTTTCTACTTAGAGGTGCGGTTGGGGCCCTGCCTGAGGCTGTCTCTCCGCGTGGTCTCTTCAATGCCTGCAGTAGGGCACTGTGTGGGGCATCGGGGTTTACGGACACGTGGTCATTTTAGGGTATGGGACTGACCCCTGGCACTCTCTCCTAGGCCAACGAGGTGACAGACAGCGCATACATGGGGTCTGAGAGCACCTACAGTGAGTGTGAGACCTTCACCGACGAGGACACAAGCACCCTGGTGCACCCTGAGCTGCAGACCGAAGGGGATGTGGACAGCGCCGGTGGCTCAGCTGTGCCCTCCGAGTGCCTGGACGCCATGGAGGATCCCGGCCAGGGCGCTCTACTGCTCCTCCCGGGCAGGTCTGTACCCTGGGTATTGTTCCTAAGACACTGAGTGGTGTGTCCTGTGAGCAGATTGGGCTTGTGGAGGGGTTGGTGTCCAAGAGTGGTGTGGAATCCTTGCGGGACCTGGGGAGAATGTGGACCCTCCAGCGTGGCCTGGAGTCCTGCTGTGAGCCCACGCCTGCTGTCCTGAGCCGTCCATCAGCCACAGCTGACCGCCTTGTGAGGAGATGCTCCTCCTGCTGGCAACAAATAGCCCTGATTGTACACGCGGCACAACTTCCTTGGCTGTAGAGAGAAACTTAATCCTGGTTTCTCACTGAAGTTCTTAGAAACCAGGGCAGGAAGGGCAGGACACCATATTCAGGCCCCATCTCCCAGCAGGATCTTAGAACCTGTTTGTGTTTTCCGCACCCCTACCGAGATCTTCTGTTCCTGTGCCCCCTGCCCCTGCTCCAGGTGTCCCCGTGTGTTTGAAGACCAGTGGAGGGAGGGGGAAGGTCTGACAGGTGCACACCCGGAATGCGAGCTTGCACTTTGCCCAGTGCTGTGTGGGAAGCCATCGTGCTTCGCAGCCTCGGAAGTGGTTTGGTTTTATTTCATGTCACATGTTTTATTTTATTTCATTGCTCGTTTGGCCCTTGCAGAGTTTTGTTTCTTCCCCTTTAACTGAAGCATCGGGTAGTGGTATGTGAGTGCGGCCAGCTGCAGCCTCGCCGGCGCCCTGGCCTGTAACGACGACTTGTGCCTCAGCCAGAGTGACCACGTGGTATTGTGGCCTTTGTACACCCGGCTGCTTTCGCTTAATGTTGTGGCTGTTGAGGTTCATCTGAATTTTTGTGCATAGTTGTCCATCGTTTGTTTTACCCTGTTGTATGAGTGTGCTGTAGCTTTTTAATTCATTGCTGGTGGCCGTCTGGGTCGCTGACAGCTTTGGCTTTATGAACAAAGCTGCTGCAAACACCACGTGTCTTGCTGGCCTGATTGTCCCTAGGGGTGGGACAGGGCTGCGCCTGCAGCATGCTTGTTGGGCTGTGGGCTGGGTGCAGACTGGACTTCTCGCAGGTGCTTGCCTGCCTGCCGCCTGTGGGCTTCGGCAGTGTTGGTGTGGGATAGTTCTTCCTTGCGTTTCCCAGATGAGCACCTTTTCTTGCGTTTATTACCGGTTCGGAGATCTTTTTTGTGAAGTGCCTGTTCAAGTCTTTTACCCATTTGTTTATTGCAGGGGTCTACAGACTTTTTCTGCAAAAGACCAGATAATAAGTATTTTTTGGCTTGCAGGCCATATGGTCTCAGTGGCTACTACTCAGGCTTTGCTGGTGAAGTGCAGTGTGGTTATGGTTCATGGCTATATCCCAGTCCGACTTCACAGAAACAGGCCATGGGTATGATTTGGCGTCTCGTGATCTGCTGGGCTGTCGTTTTCTTTTCTTTCCTTTTTTTTTTAAAGATTTTATTTATTTATTTGACAGAGAGAGACACAGTGAGAGAGGGAACAGAAGCAGGGGGTGTGGGAGAGGGAGAAGCAGGCTCACCACAGAGCAGAAAGTCCGATGTGGGGCTCGATCCCAGGACCCCCCAGATCATGACCCGAGCCGAAGGCAGACAGTTAACTGACTGAGCCACCCAGGCGCCCCTCTGTATTGTTTTAGAAATCTTTGCTTACTTCACATGACTGTGATGTTTACTTGTGTTTTCTTTTAAAAGCTTTATTTTTTCACCTCTATATTCAGATCTGTAATCTCTCCATAACTGACTTTTTGTGTGGGGTGTGAGGTTGGGGTCATTTCCCAAATGAGTATCCAGTCGACTCAGCCTCAGTTGTGAATAGATTGCTCCTTCCTTCGCTGTGTGGTGTCACCTTGGTCCTGTGAGGTGGCTGAGTGTGTGGGGCTGGGTCTGGACTGTGCAGTCTTGTCTGTCCGCCCTCGATCAGTACCACACAGTCCTTGTACTCCAGCGTGCTGTAGATTGTCCTGTCTGTATGTCAGTCCATCAGGCTGTGTTGGTGCCTTTGGCCCTTTGCCTTTCCCTATGGGTTTTTGAAACAGCTTGTTGGTTTCTGGACAAAGAACTCTACAGGGATTTTGGTTAGAGTTGTATTGATACAGCTTAATTTTGGGAGAATCACCATCTTCACAGTAAATCAGGTCTTCCAGTCTTTGAACACAGTATTTCACTCCATTTATTTATATTTATTTATTTGTTTATTTTCATTTAAATTTTTTTTTAGAGAGGGAGTGGGGAGGGGAGAGACAGAGGGAGAGAATCTCAAGCAAGCTCCACGCTCAGCACAGAGCCTGACGTGGGCTCGATCTCATGACCCCGAGATCAAGACTTGAGCTGAGATTGAGTCGGACGCTCAACCCACTGAGCCACTCAGGTGCCCTCAATTATTTATGTGTAACCATATTTACGGATATGCTTCAGAGGATGGTAAGAAGTACGGAGATCATCCCCATTTCAGTTCACTCAGGCTTCATTGTTTCTGAAAGTGGGTGCGTGTAGGACCATGGGATTTGTCCTTAGTGGCTTCGGGACTGCTCTGTGGGTGCGTGCATTTGTGGGTGGGAAATTGGAACTTGGTCTGAGTGTTGAGCAGCTGTGTTGGTGTGGGGTACGTGCACAGAGACCCAGGTCCATCCCTGACTCTGCCTGCGGGGCAGCCACTTGGCTCTCTGAGGCTCCCTTTCCTTTTCTGAAAGGGGCAGCTCTCAGATTCTTGTGGATTAGTGGTGAACAGCTTAATCCAGCCCTGGTGGAGGAGCTGATGACATCACAGCTGTTTTCTGTTGCCCTTGGTAAAGCCCTGGGCCCCCTGGCATTGGCTTAGCCTCTGCCACCTCCAGGCATGCCCAAGCATCTAGCCTGGCCCCATGACCCTGTGCTCTGGAAGGTGGGTATGGAGGAGTGATCTCCCTCTCAGAAGGAGGACAGGTGCTAGCAATCCCTTTACTTTGCCCGGTTGGAGTCTGCTAGTCTGAATTTTATATCACAGCAAAAATCTGCACCCACTCTGGCCAGTGGCTGTATGAAGAGGCATGGGGTGCATTTGCTGGAGACATGGGCCTGTGTCCACGGCTGAATGCATGATGTGTGAGGCTGCTGAGCAAATTGGGGTGTGCTGGAAGTGTACAACGAACCCCAGATTTCGAAGACTTGTTACAAAATAAATAATATAAGGGCGCCTGGGTGGCGCAGTCGGTTGAGCGTCTGCCTTCGGCTCAGGTCATGATCCCAGTGTCCTGGGATTGAGTCCTGCATCGGGCTCCCCGCTCAATGGGGAGTCCATTTCTCCCTCTGCCCCTCCCCATGCTCATGCTTGCTCTCTCTCTCTCTGTCAAATAAATAAATAAAATCTTAAAAAAAAAAACAAAAAACAAAATAAGGAATACAAGAAATGATACTTCGGATATGTTGGAATAAGTTAAAATATATTATTAAAATCAACCTATTCATTTACTTCTTTCTGACACGGCTGCTGGAACATTTGAACTCCAGACACGTGGCTGGTAGCGCATTCTGGTGGAAGGTACCGTCACACCCGCGGTTCTGGGGCCACAAGTCATAGTGTGTCACTTGTGTTTTGCCTTTGCAGATCCCACCTGCACAGCCAGTCCGTCGTCACGGTGATAGGTGGCGAGGAGCATTTTGAGGACTATGGCGAGGGCAGTGAGGCAGAGCTGTCCCTGGAGACCCTCTGCAATGGGGAGCACGGCTGCAGAGACCCCGCTTTCCCTACCCCCAGGTAACGCAGCCCTGCACTGCGGGTGTGTGTGCATGTATGCACACGTGTGTACCCATTTGTGTGTGTAAATGTGTGTGAGGGCGCGGGGAGGGGAGAGAACATGTAAGTTCTACTCTCAGTAATTTCAATTATGTAATACAATGTAGTTACCATGTTTTACATTCAATCCTCAGACCTTATTCCTGTTGTAGCTGCGAGTTTGTACCTGTTGATCAGCCTCTGTGGGAGGCTTTAACATGGCAAATGATTCTTTGGATTCGTTTCCTTATAATTATCAGACATCCCCAAATTGTCTGGGAAGTTCTGGCTGACTAAGCTGAAGTGCTAGGCCTGAAAGGGTGAGGCCTTCCCTCATGGAGCTGATCCTCCCCCCTTGCCTTCCACAGGGGCCTCACTTGTGTCCACACAAGGGGCCTGTGGCTGGTGACTGGCCCACCTGAGGGCGTGCCTGCCCCTGTAGGTGAGGCTCTTGCCTGGCTCAGCACCTGGTCCACATCTGTCGCCTCTCCCCTTTGTGGCCAGTTCTGGAAACCCTCTCTCTTTGCTGACAGCAGAAGCCGAGTACCTCTGAACCCACATCTGCAAGCCCCTTCCTTTGCCCAGACTGTTGCCCTGGCCCAGAGGACCCCCCAGCCTGGGAGAGGGCCTCTGTGGCAAGTCTGGGAGTTGGCGTGAGTGACGCGTGTGCGTGCTTCTAGCTGCTCTCTCCACACGCACATCCGTGGTGGTGTTGACGCACAGGCGGAGGACTGGGCGCTGCTAAACGTGTGTCTGTCCAGCTTGGTAATCTTTCTTGTCTGCTTAGTCTGTGCCTCTCATGTGGTCTTCTCACTGTTTTCTGTCTCACGTGTAACTTCTGCACTACCACTGACATTTCCCATCAACCTGTCTTTACATGGAACCTCCAAACGGGCTTCCAAAAGCCAGCAGGTCCTAAAGTTGCCGCAGGGGCGTGGCTTTCCTCTTCCCTCAGTAGGCTCCCCGCCAGTGCCCTGAAAGTCCATCGAGATTAGATCACGGGGGGGCAAATAGAATCCGGAGTTTTTAAGGAAGGTCTTAAAAATGACAAAATTATCGGTGATTCCTCACGCACGCACCGTTTTTGAGGCTGGTGGGCTTTAGAGCAGTTCTTAAAAGTAGCTACAGTACAGGAAGTGAGACTCCACCTGTGCTTTGCTCTCACATTGATGTGTTTTTGACAAAGGAGAAAGTAGTGTGTCCAGCCGTTTACTTGTTAACGAAGGGGTTTTGTTTTACAATGAAGCCCATGGGCCACATCTGTTTCTCTGAGCACCTGACCAGGAAGAGCAGGTATGTGGCCAAGTCCCCTGCTGCTCGAGCTGGTGCATGTCACCACTCCTAGAGGTGATGTTGAGGGAGGTGGGCTCCCAGCGGTCTAAAGGAAAGAGCCAGAATCTTCCATAGGTACCCGACAACATGCTTCTGTCCAGACCCTCCACGGAGTCACAGATAACCTGGTGGGCCCCTCACTGTCTCCTGAACTGACACTTCTCATCTCTCTAGCACCGACCCGCTTGCCGCAAAGCTGCACAGCATCCTCACTGATGAGGCTTTTGAGTTTTACTGTAGCCAATGCCACAAACAAATCAACCGCCTCGAGGATCTTTCTGCTCGCCTGAATGATCTTGAAAAGAATAGGTAACTGAGTAGTGCCTGGCCTTGCTCTTTGTTAAGTGGGAGGGAGAGTCTAGTTAACCTCAGCGCCGGCTGGTGGGTCTGGCCAGGGGTGCCACTGGCTCAGCTGGGCCGAACTGCAGCGGAAAGGCGAGTATGCTGGCACCGGGCCCCTTCCTCTGCCACCCCTCCCCCCCGCATGTGCTGAGCCTGTGTTTGGTGCACTCTGCCCTCTTGCTGTGTGTGCATGCCTTAGTCCGAGCCACTGCTTCTGACCCCACGGGAGGGAACTACCTTCACACGCTGTGTGTCCTGCATGAGGAAGTCCGGTGTGTGAAAAAAACAGATACTGTCTCCATCTTACTAAAAGATTTCTTTAACTGAGAGTCACACGAAAGGGCTTTGTGAAATTTAAAGTTACATTTGGTCTTTAAAAACTGATTTGAAGGGGCGCCTGGGTGGCCCAGTTGGTTAAGTGACTGCCTTCGGCTGGGGTCATGATCCCAGGGTCCTGGGATCGAGTCCCACATTGGGCTCCCTGCTCCACGGGAAGCCTGCTTCTCCTTCTGACCCTCCCCTCTCATACTTTCTCTCTCAAATAAATAAATAAATAAAACCTTTAAAAAAATTAAAAACTGATTTGTAGGGGCGCCTGGGTGTCTTAGTTTGTTTAGCATCTGACTTCCGATTTTGGCTCAGGTCATGACCTCAGCATCCTGAGATCGAGCCTCACGTCAGGCTCCACACTCTGTGGAGTCTGCTTGGGATTCTCTCTCTCCCTCTCTCTCTGTCCCTCCCACAGCTCATGCCCTCTGGCTCTCAAAAAAAACCCCAAAAGAGATTTGTAAACAGCTTTCGGGAGTATATGTTTAAATCAGGTGAGCCTTTCCTAGAACCTATTTCTTTTCTTTTTTTTTTTTAAAGATTTTTATTTTTAAGTCCTCTCTACATCCAACATGGGGCTCAAACTCATAACCCCAAGATCAAGAGTCACATGCTCTACTGACTGAGCCCACCAGGTGTCCTCCAAACCCATTTCTGTAAGGCTGCCTCAGACTGTTACCAGAATATCCAACTTTGCTACCCTGTATTTAAATGGGCATCCAGGACTGAGCATATGTGCCTAATGCACCCTGGCCTTGGTCAGTCCCCATTCTGCCCCTCTTCCCCGCCTCACAGGTCCGGTCTGTGTGTAAGTGTTTGCCTCCCTCTCCATCCTCCACACCCAACCCTACTCAGGTCAGAGCTCCAGAAGGAGTCCCTTTTGCTGGCTTCCATCAACTTGTCACACTCCAGTTAAAGAAAATGGGTTTGAGTAGCTTGTACATATTGGCATGTCCATTGAGCATATTGTTGATTTAGCTTCTCGTATGGGTCAGCCCCTGGGTGGCCAGCCCAGCAGAGCTGGTGAGTGGCCCATAGGGAGCTCTCATGCTGGGCAGGATGGGATGGTAGATGCTGATCAGTGCTGTGGGCTCCTGGGTGGCAATCTGGAGTGGCTTCCTGAGAAAGGGGGCCTTGGGTTGGTGGGAGGTTACATAAAATGTGGCAGAAAGGCCAGCCATCCTGATGGCTTTGGTGTGTTTAGAAGAGTTGTCTTCCAAAAACTGCTCCCCTGTGTTGAGGATCCTGCAGCCAAAGCCACCTCAGTCTTCCTGGTGGGTCCCTGTGGCTGACAGCCCTGCTGTACCTGCTGACCTACCTCTCATTCCAGTGCAGCACGTTTAATGTCTTCAGCCCCTTTCCTTATGTTCTGTGCAACACCCACAACACAGGCTAGAATCCAGCAAATACCCAGTCGAGTGGGGAGGCTTCTTTGTGGCCAGTTGGCAGCTTCAAAGGGGAGTCTGCGGGGAGGTTCCAGTAGTACTGACAAGAACCTAGCCTTCCGGGGAGACTTGGGGGAAATGTGGCATTTAGTGACTTCAGAGACCTGCTGGGTCTATTGTAGGGAAAACCAGTCTTTCATTTTACATACTATGTGTTTAGCTGGGTGTTCAGTGCTCCGGGAAGTTTCCGCCACCTGGCTGGGGAGGGGTCTCCTATGCTTCCCATATGGAGATCTGCTCTCCTGCTTAAGTGGGTTCAAGTACAGGAATGCCATGTCTGTATTTGAGAGTTAGCACAAAGACATGTATCTCGTCTCTCATTTCTGGAGTGATCTTTTCTGTGCTGAGAACCTGCCACAGGACGGCCATAGTCGCCTCTGCCGGGCCTTTTTTTTTTAAGTGATTTTTTTTTTAAAGATTTTATTTATTTATTTGAGAGTGAAAGCGAGAGAGATCACAGAGGGAGGGGGAGAAGCAGGCTTCCCACTGAGCATGGAGCCCAATGTGGGGATCGATCCCAGGAACCTGGGATCACGACCTGAGCCGAAGGCAGCCGCTTAACTGACTAAGCCACCCAGGCACCTCCTCTGCCGGGCCTTTGGAGGGGAGCCTGGGACACGGCTAAGTGTAGCTGGCAAGTCCATGGGGCCTTGTGTCCCGTTTCAGCCATTCCCTGAGGAAGACCCTATCGAGGTGGGTTCATATGCCATTAAAATCGTTATTGTAATCACAATACAGCTGTTGGGAAATTTCTTCCAAACACTGAAGTTAAGGAGATCTAAATCTTGCTTGTTGGTTTCCATGGAATTGCCACAAAATAAATGTATTTGGTTTCCGTTTGTGGATGGTAAAACATGATTCAGTCCCAACTGTGTCTGGAAGCTTTGATGTCAAATATATATATATTTTTTAAAGATTTTATGTATTTATTTGAGAGAGAGAGAGAGAGCAAGCACAAGCAGGGGGGAGACGAAGAGGGAGAAGCAAGCTCCCTGCTGAGCAGGGAGCCCGATGCGGGGCTCGATCCCAGAACCCTGAGATCGTGACCTGAGCTGAAGGCAGACACTTTACCAACTGAGCCACCCAGGCGCCCTGTCAAATATATTTTCTACCCAGTGAACCTCAGAACATGCCTACGGTGATCCTGTTTTCCAGGTACCTAGGAGCCTCTCTGAAAAAATTCATTATGTAGAAATTAACAAGAATATTAAGAAGAAATCAAGAGTAAGAAGGTCTATTTTCCAATTATAAACCTCAAAACTGGACTGGCAGTGTGATCCCTGTGAGGTTGCTGTGTCCCGAGTCCCCGTGCTATTAGGATGAAATCTGGGGTGTCAGTCAGGGTCCTGCCAGGAGAGGGGGCACACGGTAGTGTGAACGAGGAGGGTTTAATAAAGAATGAGTAACTGTAACTGGGGACTGAGTGATGAGGCGCTGGCTGCTGAGAGTGACGGAGGCTCGCCGGAACAGCAGCTTTTAGGGGCAGCCAGCCCGCCTGGCACTGAGGGCCCACCTGCTGCCCGGCCCCTGGCTATGGCGGTGGGCAGCACATTGCCTCCCCTGGTGCCACACTGGTGGGACTTGTTGGGAACCTACCTTCTAGAACTTGATGGGGGTCTGCCCTCTGGCTGCCAGAAAGCCTCACCGGGAGGGGCCTCAGCAGAGACGCTCTGTGACAGAACTGCCCGTGGAGCTGGGAGGATGCCTCCGGCACATGGGGAGCCACAAGGCAGGCTCTGGGGTGAGAGGGACCAGATGTAGCTGAGCACACGAGGACATATGGACACATGGGGGCCCTCCAGCACCCTCTATTGGTAGAAACTGCAAAGGAAGAATCGGAAAAGGGCCCGGATCCATTTCCACAGAACAAGTAGGAAGGATGCGTGTGGAGGTGGGAGGCCGTAAATCCGTAACTGACACGGCACCTGTTTCTCCTCGGATAGAGTTTTCTCCCCGAGCCATGAGGGCATCGTAGGTGTATCTGAGATAGCACGCTGAAGGGAAACAGGATGGGGCTGGTTCCCAGTGTTGGAGGGCAGCTTCTTGTGGGCTGAGGCCCATAGCTTAGCAGTTACATTGAAAATAAAACTGGGGGCGCCTGGGGGCTAAGTTGGTGAAGCGTCTGCCTTCAGCTCAGGTCATAATCCGGGGGTCCTGGGATCGAGCTCCACGTTGCACTTCCAACAGGGAGCCTGCTTCTCCCTCTGCCCCACCCCCCGTGCTCTCTCACACACGCTCTCCATCTGTCTCTCTCAAATAAGTAAATGAAATCTTAACAACAACAACTCTGGACTTGAGAAATGAGAGACAAGGTAAGTCTGGCCTTTTTTGCCAGTGCAGACGATTCTAATCAGCTGGACGATATGTAACTGACTGTATTTACTGCCCTGAAGTGGCCACAGGAGGGGCCTCTAAGTCACTGCCTGGGCAGGATTTTGGATCCTGCGGTTTCAGTGCCTAAGTTAAAGCTGATGACACAGAACAGGCCTGTGTCACAGTTCTTGTGGGGGCCTCTGATGGCCAAGCGGTTGGAGGGTATGCATTTGGGGCATGGCAGTTGCCCGCAGCTCGACCCAGTGCAGCCGACTGGTGGGTGCAGTGCTGAGCTCAACCTCTGAGCTGAGGTCTGGTCGTGGCTCTGTCTGGGATTTCTGTGGGAGTGGAATAATGTGACTTGCTGAGGCCTTGGCAAGGCCCCGAGATTGCTCCCGTGTCCCTGAATGCTTTGCTGAGCAGACCTTTCTGTGCATGGTGCTGGCCTTGGGGGCAGGCGCTGCATGCCTGTGAACATGCCCCCAACCCCATATCTCTTCAGCCTGAATTTCCTGTTTCCTCCCATTCCTCCCTGTCTGTTCTCTGACATGATTTTCCTGTTTATTTTGATTTTGCACAGTCCAGCGAAACGGCTCTCCAGCAGGAAGGTGGCAAGGTAGGAGACCCGTCGTTATTTACTGAGATGTTCTTCTGAAATGTATCACTGATCATAACTCTTTAAAAACATGTTTGGAAAATACCATTCTCCAAGGTACTTTTTTATTTTTTTAAATCTTTGGAAATTACTTCTCGTGGTTTGGGACTGAAAACAATTCTCGGGGATGGGTTCTGAAAAGAATCTCCACTGCTGTGAGCAGACCGTGGTTTGTGACGGGGAGGTTTGTGCTGAAAGCGTCTGGCATTGCGTCCTTCTTACCAAGTCTTTGCCAAAAGGTCCAGGAGGGTCTGGTGGCGTCCCCGTGTGTCTGCTGTCTGCTAGCCCATGGTAGCATCTGTGAGGGTCATGGCAGAGCCCAGGTCTGGGGTCTGGGTCAGCTTCTCCAGCGGCTCTGCTCTTCCCGCCCCCACTGGTTCTCCAAGGTGAGGAGAAGGTGGAGGAGGCGTGCCTAAGGCCGATTTTCTGAAGAATACGCTTTTGTGGCCATTTCTCCACTTTCCAGCTTTGGGTTTACCTGTTGGCTTCCTGTGGTGAGAGATGGCAGTGCACACCAGCGCCCTGCCCCTGCCAGGCTCTCTCTGAGGACGGTTTTCGCAGGCTTGTCCAATGACCGCGTCCTTCCCAGGACGCTGCGTAACGCACACTCGCTTCCTTTCTCAGACCAGTGGTCTTCTGGAGTCAGTGATGGCAGTGCTGTGGCTACTCGCCTCGCCTCCTCATGGCGCCCCTGCAGCTGTCTGGGCGCCACCCCCAGGGCGTCCAGCATTTGCACCAGCTCAGCGGCTGTGGGCGGTGGTCCTCTGGCTCCCACGTGTGCTCCAGTACTTGTTTCAGGGCTTGTCATTTCACTCCCAGATCCTGTCTTCCGTTTTTGGGTTGTTTTTGTTTTTGTTTTTTAAGATTTTATTTATTCATGAGAGACAGAGAGTGAGAGAGAGAGGCAGAGGGAGAAGCAGGTTCCCCGTTGAGCAGGGGGCCCGATGTGGGGCTCCATCCCAGGACCCCAGGATCATGACCTGAGCCGAAGACAGACGCTTAACAACTGAGCCACTAGGCGCCCCCAGAGATAAATTTTTGAGACCTTGCTGGGTTTTTTCTTCCCGTCCTTTGGCTTAGTGTAGGACTTCCGGTTGGGAACCCTTTGCCTTAAAGCTTTGCAGGCACCACTCAGTACCTTCCCGCACTAGGGCTGCTGCTAGAGCCCTGAGGCTTTCTGGTTTTCTTTGCAACCTTTTCTCTGGGAGCTTTTCAGCTGTTTTCTCTATCCCTCACGTTCAGAAACTTTACGATGAGTCTTAGGAGTCCTTCTCCCCATTAATTCTGCTGGGCAGAAAGACTGTTTGATGTGGGAGTTCCCACCCCTTAGTCCTGGGGACATTTCTCAAGCTGTTTGACAGCATTGTCCGCCCCCGTCCTCCTTCTGAAACTCCTGGTTGTGGCCCTGACCGCCTCCTCCTTGCTGCCCCTGCAGCCCTCTGCTCTGGCCCCTTCTGTGACGGACCACAGGCTCTTCCTCGCCATCTCTTGTCCTCTTCTTTCTTGATAGAGTTTCCCTCCCAGCCGGTGCTGGTGCTTCTGTCCACCGTGCAGTGGTTGCTCACAGCTGCCGGGCGGCCTCTGGCTGGCGTGCGTGCAGACAGGCTCTGTGCCGGCTGCCGTCCCAGAGGAACCCATGCCTGGCTGTTAGGCTTCAGGATCTGTGCTGGGCTGTGTGTTTGCCGCCTGTGGGCCCAGGTGTCTGGCTCTGCCTCTGTGAGGGTGCGGTCTCAGGTGCTGGGCCTCCCTGGTCGGCTGCAGCCCTCCTGCCCCTTTCCTATACCTCTTCTCTCTGTGGCCTGTGAACCTGTTTTTCTTTTTCTGTAATCTTAGGGGCTTAGGACCCAGCAGAAGCAGAGGTGAAGGTCATCAACCCTCCTCTGCACTTGTTCTCACCATCCCCCTTGTAGAGGAGCATCCAGACTCCAAGGAACATAATGTTTGTTCCAAACCACATGGTGATTACAAGTTAGCATTGCTTTCCTCCTCCCCACACCCATGTTCCGCCCCAGAGACGCTACAGGGGCTGCAACGAGGGAAGGTAAAAGTCTCCGCCCAGCCTCCCACGTCCAGGATGTGGACGGGCCCTGGGGTCCCTGGCCCGTGCTGCCTCAGCTGTCTGCTCAGTCTGCCCGCTTCTTTGAAACACCCTCTGAGAATGTGATCTTCCCTTTGCAGATAGGCTTTGGTATGAAAAAGCCCAGTGTGTAGGTATTTATAGTTGTGGTTCACACACGGAGCGTATTCCACAGTCTGTATGCACACGCACCCATGCACACGCACTCACACACACACTCACACGCACACAGTTGTAATCTGCCATTTTGCACTTAAAACCAGCACTAGAATTCTAAGGAAACTGAAAATAACTGGTACTTTCACTCTTCACGGTGTCTCAGGCCTTTGCAGGCGGCACTGTAGCCGGATCGTGGGGTTTGGACCCACCAGCTCTGGCCTCTGTGACCCGGCTGTGTGTTTACCCCACGTGGAAGTGGCTGTGGGGTCAGTGTGCGTGCAAGGACCTGGAGGCGCCAGCACAGGGCTGGGCTCAGGATGCGGGGGGCGGGGCACCAGCGGGACGCCACAGGGCCAAGGGCGCCCACAGGGCAGAAGGTGCTCTGGGGGTGTATCAGACATCTCCCACAGCCTACCCTCTCCTGCTGAGTCTCCCGAGTGGGGGTGGGTTGATGTAAACAAGGCCCTCCCCTTCAGCATGTGCCTAAAGTGGCCACATGCCAGCCGTCACCTTCCTGTCCCATGTTCAGCCCTTGGGAAGCGCTGTGAGCTCCTGGTAGGAGCTCAGGAGGGGGTGACAGGCCTTGGACTGTGGCTTCTCTGCAGGGTGGTCTCTGGGCCTGGGGTGGGCAGTTTCCTGCCCCCGGAGTGACATGAGGAGCTCTTGTTGGGGCTAAAGCCATGGGCATTTAAAAGCAACAACTGGACAAAAACAGGATGACCCTTTGGCTTCAGTGTCTCACCCAGGACACATCCAGGAACTTGTGATCCCCAGGGGTAAAGGTGCCCTTCTTTTTTGTTCCCCTTAGAACATTTCTGGAAAAAAATTAAGAAATGCACAAGCTCAGTCAATACTAAAAAGAAAATAGAACTTCATACATTTAATAACGTAGAGATCTGCGATATAATTTTTAATAGCATTTTATTGAATTCTTATTCTGTGTTATATCCTTAACAGGAGCTGTTTATATATAAAATCTCATTTACACCTTGTCTGTCATGGGAGAGTAAGGCTCAGGGAGGACGATTGTCTGCCTCAAGGCCACACAGCTCTGAGCCTCAGGCTGCTGCGTTGGGAGCCTAGGTCGGTGCAGGTAGACATGCTACTGGCACTCTGGGCAAATGATCTGAGGATTTTAAGAGGAAGGAAATTAGAGCTGCTACAGTGTCCCCATAGCCAACAAGACTGTCTCTAGGGGGACTGCAAACGTATTTGCTGAGCACCTGTGAGGGGGCCAGTGGCTGAGGAGTGAAGGCAGGGGTTTCCACAGGTCCACAGGATTCCTGGGCCGCACAGCACCCGGTGTGGCCCAGGAGGGCAGGGGCCCTCTGGCACCTGGTGCTGGGCCTTTGGAGCTGTTGCTGCAGAGGACGGTTTCCAAGCTCGACTCCAGGAGAAACTCTGGGTGAGACCCCGGTCTCTCACTGTTATTGCCACAACGAGTAGGTTTGAAAATCAAGTAGCAAGAGTGCATGTGGGTGACGCTGCGTATGGAAGTCAGGATCCTGAAGTCACGTTTCACGGGCCGTGGCAGAAGACGAGATTATTTCCTATCACAGAGAGGAATGAAGTCATGTTTTATTACCCAGGACAAAGTACCTTCACCTGTTAGCTGCCAGGGAAGGAGGCCGGGAGGTCAGGTTCCAAAGAGCAGCGGGGATTCTCTCCAGCCCTTGGGTAACAGCGTCCTGCTGGGATCCCTTTGGTGGAGGCCTGGGTCCGCGCTGCTGGGTTCCAGTTCTCAGATTGACCTGGGAACCCTCATGTTTACAGAACTTGTCGTCCTTCCTGTCTCTGCTCTGCTGAAGGGCCTTCTCTGGACTGGCCTCTTGTTTCTTCTCCACAGGCACCTGCACCAGTCAGGGGCCTTGACCATGGATGCCCTGCAGGACCCTGCCCCAGACCCCATGGAGGGCATGGAAGAGGACATTGCTGACAAGGTCAGCCTCGGGGTGCAGGGCCAGAGGGAGGGCCCCCTACTGATAACACAGCCAGGTCTTAGGGCGCTTGTGGGTGCTGCGGCATCATGGTGCAGGCCACATGGGGTGAGGGGTTGGGTGAGGGGTGGTAGTGGTGCCATCGGGGGCTAATTAGATCCTCCGCCAGTCCTGACATTGTCCAGCAAGTTTCCTAGAGGCCCAGTGGCCATGGGATACGCAGAGCAGGAACGGAGAGGTCAGATGTGGGTCCATCCAGGTGCACTGACGCTCAGACACTCCTGTCACCTGGACCCTGGAGGCAGGACCTTCGGCCGCTCAAGTTTTCAGGGTGGTGATCACAGAGCCAGACCACGTGTGGAATCAGAGTTCCCAGAGAGGCCTTGTGGGGTGGGTTCCTTGGGACCGGGCAGCCTCGCTGTGGAAGCGACCCCAGACTTCTTGAGGGCCAGCTCAGCAAGAGGTGAAGAGAAGGGGTGGCAGCACACCCTTACCTCCTCCCGTCCCCCCCCATGCTCACCTCCTCCCGTCCCCCCATG